AGAAAACAGCTCTTTTCTGTTTAGTATAATGAAGTCTGTGCAGTTTTCCTGCTTTTTGTTTTCAGGTGAGGCTGTTTGAAAAACTTTCTAGGAACATTTTATTTTAAATGCCGGGTATGAGAAAGGCATATTTCCTCTATTTCCAGTGTACTTCGAGTAACAGTCTCTAGAATATTTGTGTTATTCTAAAAGATAGCCACAAATAAAATTTGCATGTTAGTTTTGTTACATTAAAAATTTATGTGTATATATATTTTTATTGACGGAGGTATTTTTTAAGGGTATAAAGTTTCAGTATGTGAGAATCATTTAAGGCGGGGATTTTCAACCTTTTTGTTTTTCTCATGGCACACATATACTAATTCCTAAAAGAGCACCCATAGTAATTAGTTTATATGTGCCTTGAGAAAAGAAGGTTTAAAATTACTGAGTGAAGGGAATTTATTTTTAATCTTTTTTTTCCTGTCCCTCCCACTAGCCCTGCCTCTATTTTTAATCTTAAAAAAATTTTTTTTAATTGATTTCAGAGAGGAAGGGAGAGAGACAGAGAAAAATAACACCAGTGGTGAGAGAGAATATTTGATTGGCCATCTCCTGCCCCCCACTAGGGATTGAGCCTGGATGAGCCTGTGCCCTGACTGGGATCAAATTATGTCCCCCTGGTTCATAGGTTGATGCTCAACCATTGAGCCACACCAGCCAGGCAAGGGAGTTGCTTATATAATCTGAATACGAGTTCTTTGATTGATCGTTGCATTTTAATTATTTTCTCTTAGTTGGTGTCTTGCTTTTTGCTTTTGATAAGAGTAGCTAGCTAGCTTAATTAGGCAGACAGGAAGGGAGGGGGGTCCAGAGAGGATAGGGTCATCTTGTCCTGAACAATTAAGCAGCCATAAGTTAGATTGAAAGCAGCCCTGACCTGGGCAGCTGGGAGAGCCATGGTGGTAATAAAACATCTCTGGTCAGGAAAAAAAAAAGAGGCTGTTTTACTCTTTGAGCAGAGAAGCCAGCGGTTTTATTCTCAAGGCTTGGCAAGACATGGTTGATAGGTATTAAAGCAACCACTAGATAGAGCAAAAGCAACTCCAACCTGACTAGATAAGATGGATATGTGAAGTACAGAGAAATGTCACAGGATAAGGCAGGAGAAAGACATACATTCACAGAGGATAAAGGAAAGTCACAGGATATGGTGGGCGGAGGGGAGGAAACATTTTCACAGAGGATAGAGGAATGGTGCAAAATAAGGGAAAAGGAAGAGGGGGGCATCATGTGGGCTTTGATCTTTGAAACTAATACTATGTAGCAGAGTGACCAATGAGGAAAGCACAGGGGTCCTAGATTAAGGGAAGCGTCTCTAGAATATTTAATACCTCAAGACAAAGAGAGCAGTGGCCACCCTCTTTAGGGGACCCTTCTGTCTCTCCTATCTTAGCCAGGGGAGATAGTGTGTTAGGAATATAAACCTAGAATTGTAAGTTTTAGAGATACTATCTGTTTGCAAGAAAGTTTCTGTACTACTCATCTACCACTTTTGCCTGTGGCTTCATTCTTTGAATCCATCTGGACAAGAACCCAGGAAATAAATCACCATTGTACCCTGCTCACCAAAAAAAAAAAAAAAAAAAAAAAAAAACACCCAAAAAACAAAAAAACCCTGAATCACTATTATTATGACATTTTAATGGGTGAAATATTTTAATTCCTTTTTTTGTTATAATTAACATATAACATATTAGTTTTATGTGTACAACATAGTGATTTGATATTTGTATATATTGCAAAATGATCACCATAGTAAGTCTAGTTACATTCATTTTCAGGGCTGACCTGCAAATCCTGAGCTATGGTTTGTTGGAGACCACCTATCGTCTTCACGAGCAGAGAAGAGTAGAGACCCCCAAAAGCTAGTGACTTTTGAAGCCCTAGCAAAGGTCGGAGCTGTGCACCACCCAGTTAATCTAGATAATGGTAGCTGAAGCATCCTCCCCACCTTAATTCACTTAATTCCTTAGATACTCATGTAAATCCTTGTTGATTATTGTTGATTAGATATTCTGCCTATTTCTGGAAATTGTCTGCTGATGAGCTAATCTGTGTGTCATTGAAACCTCCTTACCCTAGGGCAGGGGTGGGCAAACTTTTTGACTCGAGGGCCACAATGGGTTCTTAAACTGGACCCGAGGGCCAGAACAAAAGCATGGATGGAGTGTTTGTGTTAACTAATATAAATTCAAAGTAAACATCATTACATAAAAGGGTACAGTCTTTTTTTTTTTTTTAGTTTTATTCATTTCAAACGGGCCGCATCCGGCCCGTGGGCCGTAGTTTGCCTACAGCTACCCTAGGGCTACCCCAGATCAAATAAAAGGTTGGAGCTGCCTGAGCATCAGTGGAAGTCCTTCTGGACTTGCCCACCTGGTCCCCCAATATTTACAAATTATCTCATTTCTTTTCTCTCTCATTTGTGTGCAGCTCCTCTTTCAGATCCTGAACCCTAAACCACGCAGGACGTGGAAGGAAACACACAATGGATGAATGATTACTCTGACACACGTTTCTGGGAAAGAAACCAAACAGTCCAGTTCACCTGCCTCCTCAGGCTCTTATTGTAACTAGAGCTTGAACTAAAATTAAATATTAGATACTATCAGTAGGGTAAGTATCCCTGAGAAGGCACATGCATCTGCAGTGTCCTTTAAGCAAGGACGTCTAAAGACTAACCATAAAGATTCCAGTAAACACCCAGGTGCTTGCACGTACACAGACTTGCTTCCCCACAATTCACCACCATATGTGGTTACAGAATATTTTTCTTGTGATCAAAACTTTTAAGATTTACTATCTTAGCAACTTTAAAATATGTAATATTAACTATAGGTGCAATGCTGTACATTACATCCTAATGACTTATTTATTTTATATCTGTAAGCCTGTAATTTTGATTTCCTTTACCCATTTCTGCTCCTCCTTATCACCTGCTTCTTGCAACCCCCTGTGTATTCTGTTTATAAATGGGCTTGTTTTTTTGAGACTGTATGGCAGTAGAAAATTACCAGCCCTGCACGGGGAAGTGCAGAACTCGAAGCAGTCACCAGGGATTTATAGCCCCGGACGCTGAGAACCGGCTGAGGGAGTTAGGCTCTGATTAATTGTTAGGATAAGCTGGATGTGAGAGTACCAGGCAGGAGTGATAAACTCCCATGCCGTTAGGACACAGCACAGACCCCTTTGGAATTTCTTTGTTCCACCTTTTTTACTCCCTCCTGAGTGAGAAAATTTATAGTCTGGCCATCTGGCCTGGGGTCTTGGCTGGCAGGTCAAACTGACCTAACGAGCAGGATGTCTTATCAGGTAATAACAAATGTCCCAGGAAGACCCTGGCCGATGTGTGAACCCTCTTTGTCCTCGTTACCCCCACCCCTATTTTGAGTTGTGTATAAAAAGCTGTAACTGTAACCGCTCGCTGCTGCTTCCTGCGCGCGTCCTGCCGCGGTGGCAGCCCGGATTTGAATCTGTTAATAAAGAAACTCCCTCTCCAGATTGGCAAGGGAGAGGATCTGTTTCACCAAATTCTTGGTTTGCCGTGGTTTCCTGTCTCGCGGGTACTTTCTCCTTATAACAGAGACCACATATGAGATCATATGGTATTTGTCTTTCTCTGTTCTGATTTATTTCACTTAGCATATGCTCTCAAGGTCCATTGATGTTGTTGCAAATGGCAAGGTTTCCCTTTTTTGTTATGGCTGAGTAATATCCCATTATAAATATATATGCCACATGTGCCCTTGACCAGAATTGAACCTGGGACCCTTCAGTCCGCATTCTAACACTCTATTCACTGAGCCACAGCAGGTAGGACTTATTTTTAATTTTTGAGCAATCTCCATAATGTTTTCCATGGTGGTGACATCAATTTCAGTCTCATCATCAGTGCATGAGAGTTCCCTTTCATACCAAGATTATAAAAATTTCTTCCATGTTTTCTTTTTCAAAAGCTTTCTTTTAAATACTCACTTTAACATTTAAGACTATAATTCATCTCAAATTTAGTTTTGCATATGGTGTGAGTTGAGAGTCAACATTCATTTTTTCCTTCAAAATATTATTCCTACACAAAAGCAGAAAGGCAGAGAGAACAATAGAGTCTAGTTTAAGTTTGGCAGGATTATAGTTGTGGTTCTCAGAGGAATGAAGAATAATTATTTTTTCAAGTTTGAGTTAAAACTTCCCTTCCTATGACTGTAGAGTTTACTTTCTGAATTGTGGGAAGAAAAAGACTAAGGAAAGAAAGAAGGCTGAGAGGTGGGTGGCCTGTGGACAGGTCAGTAATTACACAGAAAAATTTTGTAATCAGGGAGGGTGAAACATCCACACATAAATCCATTTACTTCTTCTACCAGTATCCCAGAGTCCTATCTGTGCCCACAGACCATGTAGCTACCACCGAACCAAGAACTGTACTCTGTCTGCACCTTGCAGTCAATTGTTCCAGGTCTCCCTTATTTGCAGCCAGCCTATGAGCCGTAGACTACTTGGCAGGAATGATGATCAATGTGTCCCATGGCTTTGTTCACTTCCATCCGCTTTGCCTTAAATTCACAACACTCCAACCCTATCCCAAAACCAAAGCAAACCCTTGAGCTATAGCATGGGGTTTAGGATGTCTAGTGGTGTGAGGTATGTGAGGGAGAGCAAGTCTGCCCTGAACAGAACCCACCTGATATCTCCTCATTGTAAAATCCATCTCATTATATAATTTAATGTGTCTCTAGACCAGCCATGGGCAAACTACAGTCTGCGGGCTAGATCCGGCCCATTTGAAATGAATAAAACTAAAAAAAAAAAAAACCGTACCCTTTTATGTAATGATGTTTACTTTGAATTTATATTAGTTCACACAAACACTCCATCCATGCTTTTGTTCCGGCCCTCCGGTCCAGTTTAAGAACCCATTGTGGCCCTCGAGTCAAAAAGTTTGCCCACCCCAGCTCTAGACTCAGTTACCATGCTTTCAATAAAGAATCCATGTAAGAATCATACTCACCATTATTACTATATTCAGCAGGAATTGAATCACTCTGTAGGGAAACATTGTCTTTGCAGTTTATTTCATCTTTGCAAACTTTTTGGTTCAACAATATTACAACCATCCTGATTCTAATTTTAGTTTAGTGGCAACTGTGTGACATTCAGAAGTTTCTCAGTCAAGGTGTTCCCTGTGGAGGGGAAGGAGCTGGTTCAGAAGTACTGTTCCTGGGATTTTCAGAGTATGGTACATTTTTCATCTTTTATTTTCTGGTGTAAAATCTTTTTTTTTTCTTTTTTTTTAATTAAATCTTTATTGTTCAGATTATTACATTTGTTCCTCTTTTTTTTCCCCCCATAACTCCCCTCCTCCCAGTTCCCGCCCCACCCTCCGCCCTCACTCCCCACCCACTGTCCTCATCCATAGGTGCACGATTTTTGTCCAATCTCTTCCCACATCTCCCACACCCCTTTCCCCCCCAGGAATAGTCGGTCCATTCCCTTTCTATGTCCCTGATTCTATTATAATCACCAGTTCATTCTGTTCATCAGATTATTTATTCACTTGATTCTTAGATTCACTTGTTGATAGATGCATATTTGTTGTTCATAATTTGTATCTTTACCTTTTTCTTCCTCTTCCTCTTCTTAAAGGATACCTTTCAGCATTTCATATAATCCTGGTTTGGTGGTGATGAACTCCTTTAGCTTTTCCTTATCTGTGAAGCTCTTTATCTGACCTTCTATTCTGAATGATAGCTTTGCTGGATAAAGTAATCTTGGTTGTAGGTTCTTGGTATTCATCACTTTGAATATTTCTTGCCACTCCCTTCTGGCCTGCAAAGTTTCTGTTGAGAAATCAGCTGACAGTCGTATGGGTATTCCCTTGTAGGTAACTGAGTTTCTTTCTCTTGCTGTTTTTAAGATTCTCTCTTTATCTTTTGCTCTTGGCATTTAATTATGATGTGTCTTGGTGTGGTCCTCTTTGGATTCCTTTTGTTTGGGGTTCTCCGTGCTTCTTGGACCTGTAAGTCCATTTCTTTCACCAGGTGGGGGAAGTTTTCTGTCATTATTTCTTCAAATAGGTTTTCAATATCTTGCTCTCTCTCATCTTCTGGCACCCCTATAATTCTGATGTTGGTACGCTTGAAGCTGTCCCAGAGGCTCCTTACACTATCCTCGCATTTTTGGATTCTTTTTTCATTTTGCTTTTCCGGTTGGGTGTTTTTTGCTTCCTCGCATTTCAAATCATTGACTTGATTCTTGCGCTCCTCTGGTCTGCTGTCAGGAGTCTGTATAATATTCGTTATTTCAGTCCGTGTATGCTTAATTTCTAGTTGGTTCCCCAATATAAGATCGAGGGTCTCATTAGTTTTCTTGTAGATCTCATTAAGTTTATTGGCGGCTTCTAAACAGTTCTTGAGCGACCTTAAAAGTGTGGTTCTGAACTCTATATCTTCCATTGACAATTTTGTCCTGTTTGTTTGTCTCCGCATTTTGTTATGCTTCCTTGGTGCACCCCCTAGTGGTCTTTGTTCGCAGTCTTATAGTTAAATCTTGATTGTTGTAGCTAATTCCAGGGAGGGTTTGACCTCCAGGCCAAGTGGCTATGAGAATCAGCTGTGTCTGGGGTGAGAGAACTTCTGTCCTCTAGGGAGGTACTAATCTAGCCTTTGCCTGAGGCTATCCGGCAAATGCCTCTGTGCAGGGCTTGGGCGGGGCGGGTCGCACAGGATCAACAGGGTGGGCCGGAGAGAGCAGTTATGGCGGCTCTCAGTCCTGTCCCCAGGGGCTCTGCCTCTCTGAGTCCCAGCACCCGCTGCAAAGCTCAGAGAGAAAGCTGCACTCGCTCTGACCGAAGCCAGACAGTCCCGCTTCTCCCGTTTGAGTCTGGGTCCCTAAAGACTCGCCCGTATCTGGAGCTCAGAGTCTTTGACTCCCTCCCGATTGAAAACGCCAACCGCGCCCTCCGCCGCCAGCCCGCTCCGCGCACTCCGCACCTCAGAATTTGACTTCAGCACTGCGCCTCCTCTGAGTGTCCGTATGCGTTTCTCTTTCCTCCTAGTTGTAGGACTTCCACTCAGCCAGCGTTCCTGTGGTTCTGGGTGATGTCCCTTCTGTTTTTTGGTTTCACTTTTGAAGTAGTTGTTCAAAGCAGCAAACTCCGGCGTTAACCTATGCCGCCATCTTGGTTCTCAATCTGGTGTAAAATCTTTAACTCATTTTTAGTTCTCTTGATTTCTTTCTGGTATTTCACAGTAATTTACCATTTTACATTCCCACCAGCAGTGCAAGAGTTCCAGTTGCTTCACATCCCCATCAACACTTGAGATGTTTCGTCTTTGTAATTTTAGCCATTCTAGTAGGTGCATAGTGATATCTCATTGTGGCTTGAATATACTTTTCTAATAAGTAATGATGTTGTTAATAATACTGTATACTGTGCTTATTGCCATCCAAATATATATTTTTTGATGAAGTGTCTGTTTAAATTATATTAGTTTTTCCTTTTAATTGGCATGTTTGCTTTTCCAATTAGTAAGATGTTTGTTGAGTTTTAAGAGTTCTTTAAATATTCTGGATACAAGTCCTAAATCTGATTTATGATTTGCAAATAGTTACTTCCAATCTGTGACTTGTTTTTTCATTCTACTGAAGGAATGAAAAGTGTGCTTTTTCAAAGAGCAGCGTTCTTAATTTTGAAGTACAATTTATTATTTTGATACCTGGAATGTTTTTAACTGTTCTCACCTTGTATTTCTTCTGTATCTCTTCTTCCTACTGATACAGAGGAGTTTATAATTAAGAAATAAATACTATGGGTTTAAGCAAAAGCCAGCAATACATGCATTAATTCAATTTAATTTTATGACCCATATAACAATCACTATAGAATTAAAATAGCTATTTGGTGCTTTTTGTCCAATATTTCCACACCTCTAGATCTGGTAGCAGGAATATCCTTGGTTTGTACCTTCCTAAGGTCCCTTAGGAGGATCTCACTGGTGATGGGAGGATTTGGAACTGGTCAGGTCTGACACCAATGTCAGGAATGTGTTTCAGTCCTAAGGAAGTTCTTTGGGAAAGATAGAATTTTAGTTCTAACTATTTCTTGATTTCACTGAAGTATGGTGATGAAAACCATTATGCATAATGGGAACTGCTGACTCTCTAGAGAACACAGGCTATCAGACTCCAGGTAGGGACAGAAAATGCATTTACTCTGGATGTGTAGAATGAAGCAGGCAGATGTGGAAACCAATGTAGCACATTTTAGAGCTTTCATTATCCCATATTTCATATCACATACAATCAGATACTTTGAGACCAGATGGTTCTATGTCAGGTGTCTTTGATGGCTGTACCAAACATCCTACGATCTGAAGTCCTATTCACTTAGGGACACAATAGGAACCTATAATCACCACAAATAACAGTTCATGAGTCTGGGTTATGTATTTGAACCCCTCTAATTCTAATACCACAGAAGGTGCTGAGTTTTAAAGACATAGGGCTTTAGAATGACATCTCACTGAATCATATACCTTTGGACTTCATTCAGGGTTTATAATTTTAGTTTTAGGTCTTCCCTTCATGAAGAACTAGATAACTGTCCTTTTGGCTTTTCCCACACCCTACCCAGACTTACCTTCTCCATGTGCTTCAGTATACGTTGTAGCTCTCTCTGTTGGATTTCTGTTTCTCTCTTCATCCACCTGGGCCACGGTTTCGTGGAAGCTTCTCTCTTGAGCCTCCATTTGTTGTTGCTTTTCATTCAGTGTCTGTAGTAGCAGCTCCTCTTCTCTTTCCAATGCCTCTGTCTCAGCATGCTCATCTGTTCCACAGTGGTTTTACAGAGTTAAGAAAATAAAAATTATATCTAGCTGTACCCTTCAAAGATAAGAGGAGCTCCTAAAATGATTTTTAAATGGCAGTGAGTAATCTATCAATATTCTTACCAGCAATAGGAACAAAACACATTTCAGAATGTGATGGAAAGGCACTGATTGCTTGAGAGAGCAATTAAAATTCACCTGGTTATTTTTGGATTTAATTGTTCTAATCCTTTTGTGGAAACAGTATGTTTCAAGAAGGATTTTTTCTCATACATTGAGGGGCACTGCAGGAACTTGCCATATGCTCCATGATCACAGCCCTGCCTTGTACCTGCTAGACTAGAGCCATCTCCCAAGTAGTGAGGTGCCGGGAGCCGGTCCATGCTTGCTGTTTCAAGGGACCTGGCATATATGGCATACTGTTCTTAATATGTTTGCTCACCTTCTTGGCACTATGTGTTTTAACCAAGGTCTCTGAGAAAGGTTGTTTCCCCAGGTAGGGATTTTCCCCTGAAGTTAGGGAGGGAATAAAACCTCTTAACTAAGTGCCAGGTGGGTAATTAATCACTTTAACTATGAACAATCATGCTTAAGCTACATAATCTTTACTCCCTGGAATGGAGATAAGAAATGCCCTAACCTTTGAAATAGAGATTGATAGGATTGGAATCAACTGGTATAAATACAGATGTAAGAAGACAAAAAAAAAAAAGGAGAGACAGAACCTAGACACAGAACCTACACAGAACTAGAGACAGAAGAACTTCACTGGAGAGAACATGGCAAAAGATCCTGGACTGAACCTGACTACAGAAATGGGCAAGAGAACCTGACTAGAACCTGGTAACTGAACCTGGCTGGAGAACCTGGACAGAACCTGGCTGGAGAACCCAGTGAGGGAACTTGGCTACAGAACCTGGCTGGAGAACCTAGCGAGGGAACATGGCTACAGAACCTGGCTGGAGATCCTAAGCAGAACCTCTCTGGAGATCCTAACCAGAACTTTGCTGGAGATCCTGAACAGAACTTGGCTGGGGATCCTGGCTAGAGATCCTGGCTAGGCTGCTGATCAACTGAACGCTGTCTCCGTGTCATTCCTTCTTCGCCGACTCCGTCCACACCTTTGGGGACCCCTGGACCTGCTGGGGTTGGACCCCGGCATATGGCACCCAAACAGGGACCCCTAGGTAAGCCCCACTCTCAGGATGGATAGGACTCCACCGTAGGAAGAGGGTGGATAGTCTTCGCCAACTCCGTCCACACCTTTGGGAAGCCCTGGAACAGGATTCCCCTAGGTAAGCGCCCCCCTCATTGAGAACCCCCACACTCGGGACGGATAGGACTCCACCAGGGTACTGCAGACCCCCCTACAGAGGATAAGTAGGGTAAGAAGGTGGATAGTACAGAACTTAGATTGAGAAGATGTGCCATACTGGGTCCAAAGAAAGAAGACTCTGTATTGATTCTTAGATTGAGAAGATGTGCCATACTGAGTCCAAAGAAAGAAGACTCTGTATTGATCTTTAGATTAAGAAGATGTGCCATACTGAGTCTAAAGAAATAAGACTCCTTATTGATCTTTTAACACATATGCTTGCTAGCAGAGGAATTAAGGTTACTCCCAGTCAGACAGAACGTTTTATACAAGAAGTATGTCCATACTTTTCTGAGGAAGGAAAGGTAAATGTAAAGGCATGGGAGGAGGTAGGCCCAAGGAGCCTTATCCTTAACCCCACTGCAGCCTTTCCACCCCAGGAAAGTGCAGGATTGGCAAGCTCTCCCTGGGGTGATAGATCAGGACTCAGGTAATAGCGGAAAGCACCAATCCTACTCTTAAAATGGATACAAGAGAGCATTTCGGGGTTTTCTTTTTAATGCCCGCTTTTAAAAAATAAAAAAGGGGGAATTTGCTGGGAGCTGGTCCATGCTTGCTGTTTCAAGGGACCTGGCATATATGGCATACTGTTCTTAATATGTTTGCTCACCTTCTTGGCACTATGTGTTTTAACCAAGGTCTCTGAGAAAGGTTGTTTCCCCAGGTAGGGATTTTCCCCTGAAGTTAGGGAGGGAATAAAACCCCTCAACTAAGTGCCAGGCGGGTAATTAATCACTTTAACTACGAACAATCATGCTTAAGCTACATAATCTTTACTCCCTGGAATGGAGATAAGAAACGCCCTAACCTTTGTAATAGAGATTGATAGGATTGAATCAACTGGTATAAATACAGATGCAACAAGACAGCAAGACACAGAACTTAGAACTCAGAACTTAGAATACAGAGCTTAGAACACAGAACTAAGAAGACAGAACATACACAGAACCTACAGACAGAAGAACTTCGCTGGAGAGAACATGGCAAAAGATCCTGGACTGAACCTGACTACAGAAATTGGCAAGAGAACCTGACTAGAACCCTGTGACTGAACCTGGCTGGAGAACCTAGTGAGGGAACATGGCTACAGAACCTGGCTGGAGAACCTAGCAAGAGAACATGGACACAGAACCTGGCTGGAGATCGTAAGCAGAACCTCTCTGGAGATCCAGACCAGAACTTGGCTGGAGATCCTGGCAAGGCTGCTGATCAACTGAACGCTGTCTCCGCGTCATTCCTTCTTCGCCGACTCCGTCCACACCTTTGGGGACCCCTGGACCCGCTGGGGTTGGACCCCGGCAGTGAGGGCTTTGTCAGTCTGCATGATGGATTCCTTTGTTGAAGCCTGTGACTGTCTTGAAGTTCTGGAGGACCTCCATACCCTGAGGAAACAAAGAGCAAAGACTATTCTTTCTGGGGAAGTCATTGGTCAATAAAACTACAAATTTGACTCTGTAAGTGCATCATCCTTCTTAGCATCCAACAGTGGTTCCCTTCCTTCCAGGGCCACAATAGAAAATCCAACATCTTTAGTTGGGGGGGATCAATAGTTGCCTATTTGGCAACCCTAGCTTCTTCTTAATGATGACACTTATGGTAGTTCTACAAACACTCCTCCTCAATTATATGCAATCTCTGCACATTTTTTTTTCTTCTGACTTATGCTCATCTACTCTTTCTATACTCAGATACTACTTATTGACACTTCAACTTATAGCTTATATCTCCTCTTCCAAAAAGTTGTGTTAAATTTCCTCCTGAGATTTGACTGGATGCCAGTAACAGACCTGCCCTACCAGTTCTACCACTTGTTAGCAGTATGTTCTTAGGTAACTCATGAGCGTCTCAGTGCATCTTTTTTTAAATTTTTTTTTAAAATCTTTATTGTTCAGATTATTACAGTTGTTCCTCTTTTTGCCCCCCATAACTCCCCTCCACCCCACCCTCTGCCCTCACCCCCCCCCACTGTCCTCATCCATAGGTGTATGATTTTTGTCCAGTCTCTTCCTACACCCCCACACGCCTTTCCCCCCAAGAATTGTCAGTCCACTCCCTTTCTATGCCCCTGATTCTATTATATTCTCCAGTTTATTCTGTTCATCAGATATTTTATTCACTTTATTTTTAGATTAACTTTTTTTTAAAATTAAATCTTTATTGTTCTGATTATTACATTTGTTCCTCTCTTTTCCCCCCATAACTCCCCTCCTCCCAGTTCCCACCCCACCCTCCTCCCTTACTCCCCACCCACAGTCCTCATCCATAGGTGCACGATTTTTGTCCAGTCTCTTCCCGCATCTCCCACACCCCTTTCCCCCCCAAGAATAGTCAGTCCATTCCCTTTCTATGCCCCTGATTCTATTATAATCACCAGTTCATTCTGTTCATCAGATTATTTATTCATTTGATTCTTAGATTCACTTGTTGATAGATGCCTATTTGTTGTTCATAATTTTTATCTTTACCTTTTTCTTCTTCTTCCTCTTCTTAAAGGCTACCTTTCAGCATTTCATATAATACTGGTTTGGTGGTGATGAACTCCTTTAGCTTTTCCTTATCTGTGAAGCTCTTTATCTGACCTTCAATTCTGAATGATAGCTTTGCTGGATAAAGTAATCTTGGTTGTAGGTTCTTGGTATTCATCACTTTGAATATTTCTTGCCACTCCCTTCTGGCCTGCATAGTTTCTGTTGAGAAATCAGCTGGAAATAGTATGGGTACTCCCTTGTAGGTAACTAGCTGTTTTTCTTTTGCTGCTTTTATGATTCTCTCTTTGTCTTTCGCTCTTGGCATTTTAATTATGATGTGTCTTGGTTGGTCCTCTGTGGATTCCTTTTGTTTGGGGTTCTCTGAACTTCCTGGACTTGTAAGTCTATTTCTTTTAGCAGGTAGGGGAAGTTTTCTGTCATTATTTTTTCAAATAGGTTTTCAGTATCTTGCTCTCTTTCTTCTTCTGGCACCCCATAATTCAAATGTTGGTTCGTTTGAAGTTGTCCCAGAGGCTGCTTACACTATCTTCATATTTTTGGATTCTTTTTTCTTTTTTATTTTCCATTTGGGTGTTTTTAACTTCTTCATACTTCAAATCTTTGACTTGATTCTTGTGATCCTCTAGTCTGCTGTTGGATCTCTGTATAATATTCTTTATTTCAGTCAGTGTATGCTTAATTTCTAGTTGGTCTTTTTTCATATCCTTGAGGGTCTCAATAGATTTATTGAGGGTCTTACTAAGTTTATCAGCAGTTTCTAGGAAATTCTTGAAAAACCTTATAAGTGTGGTTTTGAACTCTATATCCAGTAGTTTGCTTTCCTCCATTTCTGTCATTTGTGACCTGTTTCTTTGTCTCCGCATTTTTTATGTTTCCCTGTGTTGATAGAGTGGCTTTGTGTGCTAGGTGTCCTATAGGGCACAGTGGCTCAGCCTCCCCAATTACCTGAGGTGGAACTCTTGGTGCACCCCTTTGTGGGCTTTGTGCACAGTCTTGTTTTAGTTAAGCCTTGATTGTTGTAGGTATCACTGGGAGGAATTGACCTCCAGGCCAATTGACTGTGAGAATCAGCTGTGTCTACAGTGGGAGAACTTCTGTGCTGGAGACACCCTTCTGGGGCAAGACTTGCTTCAGTGGGGCTTTGGTGCTCACTGAGTCTGCCCCCCGACTGTGTCCCTTATGGATCTGAGGAGTTGTAATCTGTATGGTCCCACTCTGACCACTGGGTACACTAGCTCTTGGATCTCTAAGGAGATGCTAATTTAGCCTCTTCCTGAGGCTACCTGGCAAGAGCTATGGAGAGATCTGCAGATTCTTCTTCTTTGTTTGGGGTTTGGAGGTGCCCAGATGAGGTCCAGCTGTGAAGCAATGCAAGCTGCTGTGGGGATTTGGGCCTTCTTTTGGATGTTCTGGGTCTCTCTGACCCAGTTGCAGTTTCTTAGGTAATTTTAGATTGCAACGGGCTAGGTCATTCATATGCAAAAGCCTTTGTGAACAGCTTGGGTGGGGCAGGGTCTAAGGGAATCAACAGGACAGAGCAAACAGCTATGGCTGTTTTGCCCTAAGAGGTCCCGGGTCTCAGTGTCCTGAAGTAATCACTGCAAGCACCTCTGAGAGAAAGCTGCCCTCAAGTTCTGCTCAATGCGAGACAGTCCAGTTTCTCTCCGTATGAGTCTGGGTCCCCAGAGACTCGCCCGGAACTGGAGTTCAGAGCATTCAGGAGCTTGAGACTCCTTCCCGATTGTAAAAGACAACCGCATCCTCAGTTGCCAGCCCTTTACACACACGCCCCCGTACCTCTGCATTTTACTTCCGCACCTCCTCTGAGTCTCAGTGTGCTTTTCTCTTTCCTTCTAGTTGTAGAATTTCCACTCAGCCAGCCTTCCTGTGGTTCTGGATGATGTCCGTTTTGTCTTTTAGTCGTATTTTTGACGTGGTTGTGAGAGGCAGCAATTTCAGGTATTTACCTATACTGCCATCTTGGTTTCTCTCTTCTCAGTGCATCTTATTTCTCAACTGTATTATGGGGATGACATTAGTATCTGAAGTCATAGTATTCTAAAGATTAAAGTGATAGTCAACCTAAAATGTACTTGGTGTAGAAAGTGTGTGCTCAATATATATCAGG